ATCGACATCAGCGGAACGATTTTGATTCCAATCGACAGCCATAAATAGGGCATCAAGCCATTAAAGAATGTACGACGTAAAAACTATTATTAATCCCTGCCTTCTTTTTAGACCTCCGTGACTAATTTGATCGTCGGAGAGCTCTTAGCAGGCACCACACCGGTACTGTCAAGGTTCATCGATCTTCTCTTCTCATCCTTGTAGGAAAATAGTATCGTATCAGACTGCGCGAATTTCAGCCTCAACACTAAATTAATACAGTACTTTTACAGATTAATATATGTATTAGTCTATTAGCTCAAATTTTGGTATATAGTTTTATTTTAGTGGGGGTGGTGACAGAACCCGACCCATGATGAGTTCAGCCGATTGATATGATTGCGCGTAATCATGTGATTCTCACATGATTTGAAAGTGGACCCCAAACCCAGAATGCATACGACGTGGCTACAAGTTATTGGTTACTCAAATATGAAAGAGTGGTGAATTTCACACTTGAGTGCGCACTATTTGACTAATAAACTTCGAGTCAATGGGATTATGGAATCTCCAAGTTGGGAGCAAGTGCAATTACAAATCTACCCATCGAGAACGAGATTAAACTGGTGGCATTTGAGGGTTAAAATAGTCAAAGAAATGATTAAAAACGCGCAATTTCAACATCATCGACAAACTGAGTGGGGAACAACTTTTTTAATCTCCGAAATTGATGAAGTTTGACTACCGAATCTCGAAAATGCCCCCAAAAGATTGGTACTTTCGGCAATTTTCAAATTAATAATGACTGGCGTCGAAAAATAAAAAGAATTTATACTCATATGATAAAATTACATACAATTAGATATTAAAGTTTAAAAAACAAAAATAGTAGTATGCCTATAATGACATCAAATCTTGTGAAAGTCATCTCACAAAAAGGAAAAAGAACTCGAACAGACCAACAAGGTCATGTCTAAACTTTCTTTCTTTCTTTTTTATTTATTTTTATTTATTTTTCCAATAAAAATATGAGGCAAAAACTAAAAGGGTTGACATATTGAACTTGTTATATATTTCAATGGAATTTAATACTTAAATGACGGAAAATTAATTAATTAAATGTCTCGTACCATTATAAAACATTAGTTAAATATTTTATATTATTATGAAATATTTAAAATTAAATTTAGATAACAAAAGTGCCCTTTCAATCATTTCTTAATTTCCTTACTTAAATGAGGTGTGTGTGTATATACATATATATATTTTTACAAGGCAAGAAAGAATTCACAGAGACACTAATCACTGAGCTATCGAGACATCTGTATATATATTGAGTATCTATATATACAAATAACACTTTATGTGTGTGTGTATATATAGATATATATACAAACAACAGCTTTCGTATATATATTTATATATACTATGTATGGATTCATAAAAGAAAGATATTGACTAGAAAAAGATTAGGTGATATATATATATATATATAGTAATTATATACACAATCCATATAGCTAAAAGATAATTAAAAAAATAAATAAAAGAATCCATAAAAAAAAATACAAAGAAAATAATCATAATCCACAACGAGAATGTTATATATATATATATATATATATATATATATATATATATATATATATACATACGGATCAGTACGGATCAACTTAGGAGAGAAAAAATAATTAAAAGGGTACTTTTATTCTATAAATTTATATTTTAAATGTAGGAGATATTTAATTAACAGGACTGAAATATTTTAAATGTATGAGATATTTGATTAACTGGTGTGAAATTCTAGGAATTCTAACCAATTAGTAGTGCGACTACAATTAGCACTCCTCATTATGTAGTCACTTAGAATCATAACATTTCTTTTTTTGCTGTCAAATATTTAGAATTGGAGCATATATCTGTGTTCGAATACGTGTGAAAAAATGAGAGTGAAATGCTAGGTAGTATGGGTAGAGCTAGCGCTTAATTCTTTGAGCGAGTATACTCGTATTTGGGGATATTAACCTAGTTGATAGAGTGTTCATCTCTCGGAACGGGTGTGCCCGTATTCGCAGATAGTGACCTAATTAGGTATATATGTTTTCGAGTCCCTCTTCCCCTACTTTGCCAAAAAAAAAAAAAAAAACTACCAATAATTAATTGTTACAAGGGGGAGCTTGGCCCATATTGGATTCGGATGGAAAAATGAATTGGTATAAATGAATGGGTATAAATGAGTGGGTATGTAACACTATCTAATAGCTTAACTTTTTTGATAAATAGCCAAGCGACCACCCGTTACAATTAGTATCAGAGTCAGACCTAATTCTTGATCCTATGTCATACCAATCGTCTTATCTAATAACTTAACTTTTGAATAAATGAACAATGTAAGAGAAGAGGGACTAATAAATTTTATTCTTAAAAAATATACTTTTAACACTCTTGAAATATTGGTCACATGGTATTAACCAATTGAGATACTGAGCTACAAAACACTTTAATATTTGACTACATTGTCAAATTTATATATTCCAGTACCGTGGGAAATTGAAAACATTACTATAATATAATTGAAATACAGACATTAGATTATAATACTGACTAATTAAATCTTAATATGTATATATAAGACACATAAGGAGAAATATGTACATTTTTATTTATGTACCTCATCATCCTATTACTAGCACTTCTCTACATGTGTGTGTATACGCATCTATACAAATGAATGTACAGAGAGTTCAAAACCCCCCAGACTTGTACCGAAAGTTCAATAAATGGAAAAAGAAGTAAGGGACAAACAGAACAGACAGATCGAAATGAGGATAAGAGGATCATGTTTATCGTTTGGGTTTGGTTTGATCATCTTAAGCCATATATAACCGAAGCTTAAATGGAACTTTCTAGAGAACAAAGAAAACATACTAGTAATATATTAATATTATAAAAAAGGCATCATGCATTCTTATCCAATTGAATTATTCAGTGTGAAAAAAAAAGGGAAAAAACTTGTTAACGCATATGATAGGTGCAAGTTTTTGGAATTCAGTATATTGAGGTTGTGTTTGACAGTATGAAATTAGTGAAATTGAAAAAAAAATTGGTTTAATTTTATGAATTGTTTTTTAAACAAAGCCTGAAATGATTTAGAATTATTTTTCTTAATATTAAGACTCAAAAGAGTTTGAAACTAAACTTGGATTTGTAAATATTCGGTTATCTAGTAAACTGTAATATCCCTTATTCCAATAGAATACACAGGAATCTGAGGAACTAACTCTTTTTAAGAAGAAAAAAAGAAACCTTTTGAAATGAAGATGAAGAATAAGTAGTGTTTGTTAATTTGTTAGAGGTTATTGTCCACGTCTCTATTCTTGACCATATATGAATTAATATGCAACAAATATTATTATTAGTATTTGACAACACAATATTATTCAGTATTCGATAGCGCTTTTTTAGTCACTAAACAAACACGCTTGTTACAGAAGTTGTTTCTTTTCCATTTTCTCTCAAAACATAGCATTATATATATATAAGCCCTACGAAAATAGTATTATAAAGCCCTCCTATTTGTCTCTTGTACACAAAAACTCCCGCCCCAACTCTCCTCTTTAAAAAACAGTATTTTATGGATATATTGAATATAAATTCAAAAAGAAATTTTTAGAATTTTAGCATGATGTTATTGTTGGGATGATATATCATATAAATAGTTTAAGTTTATGCAACTATATGGTTTGATTGTTGGATGTAAGCTTTTTGTGTTCTTATGCTAATGTTGCTTGTGGAATATCACTGGCTTATTTATAGCAAACACACCAGCAGTGTTGGAAGACTACTCCAGCAGTGTTGGAAGACTACTCTTCTTTCGGGTTGTGCAGAGTATTGGAGAGAGTTGAAAAAATTTAGGATGCTGCAGAGCTTTTTACCAAAAATGGAATTTTGTAGAGGGGTTGATATTAATGAGGAAAGTTCTAGAGTAGATTGCCTTTAGTGTGCGGTAATGTGCTATTATTATAGGTTGTATGTGTATTAGGTTCTCAATATTAATGAGATCAAATCTTGCGAAGGTATCTCACAAAAAGGAAAAAAGATATATTTTTTTTAAGTAGGAGGTGAAAATTAGAAGGGTTGACATATTGAACTTCTTTATAGGTGGCAATTTTAAATGCATCCAATTGTCATGCTTATAAAAAAGAAACTATTAGTAATTGAATTTTCTGTAATACTACCATTAACTTCAGCTGAAATTCTATAAATGTCTTCAATGTAATTTGAATTTTATTTTATTCTTAATAAGCTCTAATGTAATTTATGCAATTCAGTGATTGTGCACAATAACCCCTTAGGGGCTCGCCAAAAGGTCAACGTCCTCACCACCCGTACCCTGCCAGTGCATTCCAAAGTCTCCACGATTTTATTTTTGAATTTTACCCAAAATGTCTTATACGAATTAAAGATAACACCACCTACATATATAACACTTCTCCTTATCAACCCGGAACCCGCCCTCAAGATCATCACATTCCATCCCTTACTATCACGGTGATGGGTTCATTTCACATGCTAAATGGAAAAAACACAAGTCTAAACTGAGATTTATTTGTCCATACATGAGCACGTATGTGTTATCACAACCACCAACTCTACCAAAAAAAAAAGCCATCAATCCCAACAACTTGAGCTCGGTACAAAGATCATTTACTCAATTTGTTATCTGTAAAGATACATCCTAAGTTACATATGGTGCGCAATCACATTTCTCCTAGGTGTTTTTATATTTTGGTTTATACGAAGTTCTTATATTTTTCTAAGAATTTAAGAAACAAACAAGCACACAAACAAAAGAAAAATAAAAAGTTATTTTCACCTGATTGGCTGCAAAACCAATAAAGGACTTCATATCTAACATAGAAAGAAATTATTAACATAGATTAAAGCAATGGTCCAGCACTATCAAATCCCTACTTCTCAAAGAGAGGTTAGGGGTTCAAGCAGATGGCAAACATTCTCTCTTCTTTTTCCACAAAAAACTAATCAATTGAATAAATTTGCCTTCATGTGAAAAATTGTGGTACAAAGTGAATGAAAAATTTCATAATGTAATTTGAACAAACCTAAAAATTACTATTGGGATTCTATTTGCTAATTCAGAAGGTAAAACACAACTATGCAAATACAAGGCATTCCAAAGATTTCGCAGGATTTTATTAGGGGGGAGGCAAAAAAAAAAAAAAAAATAGAATACATTTTGTGTTACATAAAATTTGGGGAGGATCACCATGAAAAGGGGCTTGCTCCCAACAAGAAAATTTCATTTTCAACATCTTTCACCCATTGACAGACCCGGTTGCAAGTCTTTATAGCCAAAGCCTGCAAATTTAAAATTACCAAAACTCAAACATAGTAAACATGAAGAAAATGCAGAATAAATAATCTTACTTCCTCTGCAGTGCTGTCAATCTAACCTGCTTTCCCTTTTCAGCAATTCTTACAAAAATTCAACTTCTCTTTGCGTTGTTAATTATGGCTTGTTTGCCTGCTTTTCACATTTTCGAACAAACTTTCTACCCCCATTTTTTGGGTAAGTAACCGTTCCAACTGGTCACATTTTCATAGTCGGATGCGTGACTACAACATAAATCTTGGATATCCGCAATCACCTGCAAACTACGGATATTGCTTAAACTAGGACTCGATCTTGAGACCTCAAGGTAGTAGCCCTAGGACCCTGACAGGTTCTTTTCCCATTTTTCTCCCTTTAGACAAATTTCCTACATAAGTTTTCCCTTTTCATTACTTTCTCTAATCATAGAAGTGGTGGAATGGTCAATTAGATAGTGATTCTGCGATGACCCATCCTTAGATGGGCAGACACCATGACCTCAACACTTCAGGTCATATCTAATATTTAGAATTTTACAGCTCGTGCAGCCCCCACCGAAATGGTGCTTTACCACTAGATGTGTAGTCAATTGCTGCGCCTAAATGCATTTATTCCACGTAGCCCAAAGGAAAACACCTATAGGAAAGGGGCCATCAAGCAGGATTTGACAATAGGAAACGAAAAGCAGGCTGATGCCAAAGATCACCTTTTGAAAGACCCAACAATGAGATGTACCTATTTGTGTGATTATATACTTGTATCACAAGTGAGTAAGTTATATATATTAGGGCTGATCATAGATCAGATCGGTTTGGTTTGGGAGTAAAGTTCAATCTAATCCGGTCCCCACGGATTGGTGAAATTGAAACCAAACCGATCCGTGGGGACCGTCAATCCGAACCAAACCGATCCGATCCGTGATCAGCCCTAATATATATATATAACTTACTCACTTGTGATAACGGATTGGATCGGTTTGGTTTTCACGGATTGGGCTTTTCAATCAACCCGATATGATTACACTTTATGCCCATTAAAATCTCAAATTAGTAATTAAAAATCTCAATAGCTCTAATGAAATGAGCAATGAATTTGGGGACGTAGGGTTAACTTAAAGAATAATGAATTAAAAAAAATAGAAATACAGTAAGTATATTGTATATATATAGTTACATATATATATATAATTAAGGTAACGGATCGGATCGGTTTTTCCAAGGTCCAATCCGTTAACCGAACCGCGACTAACGGATTGTTATTTTTCTAAACCATCACCTAACCATGAGATCTGAAAACCGAACCAAACCATACGAATCGGATTGGTTCGGACCGGATTGATGGATTATTTGCCCACCCCTAATATATATAGGAACATACACAATTGTGGCTTGAGAATATCTACGGTATGGCTAATGAGACACAAGTAGTGCATCAGCATTCATCTAGACAATAACGTGAGAAGCTTCCCTTAAACGGGAGCTCAAAACAATTTTATGGTGCGAGAAATTCAAGGTACTTGTTTCAATAACCGATATAAAGAATGTCCCACTATCAGATTTTTTTAATTAATTTTAGGGGCAAAGGATGGAATGATGTGAGGTCAATCTCTCAAAATATATATTTCCCATCTGAAACATTATTCACATAACATGTGCTCCTCTTAATTACTCGTACTAATTATAACTGAGAGTTTCAGACCAATAAATATGTTCAACATCAATTTATAATTTATGAAACATATAATAAAATTGTCATATATAAACATAAATCAAACCTTGTCAGCAAGTGGATCAAATGCAGCATAAAGTTCAAAATCTTGGGTGACCCAGCAGAGTAGAACTGCCACAAAAAGAGGATCAATAAAATTTCTCTGGAAAAATCTTTTCATCCATGAATTATAAACAAGCATCCAAAATTCAGTACAGTAATTGATAAAATTAATTATCCAACCAATCTAAAAGGTTTCAAACACAAAAAATGTTCAAATAACAAAGAGCCATCCCCAATCCAAATGGAAGAAAAGAAAGAAGAAGAAATAATATATACACACACAGTGCATAAAGCTTATTTGATTTTTTCCTTCCAGTTACAGTTTTCTTCTATGCTGAAATAGAGTTGTGTCTCAAACATCTGATAAAAAATTGGTGGGTGTCCATCAGTCATTTGTCCGAAATGAAGTATTTCGATTTTTAAATTTTGCACATTCAAGATGTGAGTTAAAAGTTGAAGCACGTCCAAATGTGTCTAATAAATGAAGTCAGTCGACATGATACAGCTCCTTAGAATTTTACCTGCTTCTTAAGCCCCATCCCAACCGTTTGGATCAGCTAACATCCAAATTTACATCATAAATCATTTATGAGGCCATCACCATGTCTTTTTGGGCCCCTCTTGTACTAGTACGTCTTTTTTATTTTTTATTTATAAATGGTAAAGCAAACACACACCCACTATATATAGATACTTTAAGTTATTGCATCTTCTGATACAATCATGATCTATATATCATTTGGCAAACAATTATGGAGGATTTTTTTCCTCATATAGTTTTTCTAATATCAATTGGAATCAAGTATCTAGGCTAATTTCATGGAAAGTAATTTTCTATTATCTTAAAAAGACAGACTTTTCAAACATAGAAGGCACTTCTATTATTGTGTCTATCACCACCCAAAATTTTGCATGCAATGTCATGAAAATACACATTACCGTGGTTCCACTAAGAGGTTATGACTTTCAACTCCCTTAGAATTTAAAAGGATCCAAGGGACCCCAAATTTACAAATCGTGACAAACAACAGAATTGTTATTTCAAACAATTTCTCTGAAGGTTTTAGGTTCTTTTCCCATAAATTCTATGATATCCACTGATAAGAATTGAACAAAATCAACTAAGATAATAAATTACTTTGAGGGTTTTAGGTAATTTCCTTAAAGTTTTGGAGAAGTAATTTTGATTATATGCATGTGAAGAAAGATTAAAATGTAGAATTGATGTTATAGCTTTATTGAAAAGTTCAACTTCAAATTTATCAATTAGACATTTTTAATTTGAATAGAAAACAGTTTCAAACATTGTTTGCAGTAGTTTGGTGTGTGTCAGCACTTCTCTTTTTTGCTTTCTACATTGTTGTTTTCTTTTGTAATAGGCCAGATTGCTGTCTTACATTACCATTGGATGTACTGCTTACAATAAATAAACTTACCAGTGTTTTAGGGTTTTATCCGAGCATTAAAAATGGTTCCCTTGGTTTTTCCAAATTATTCCCAGTTTAATCTGATGTATAACACTGTTAGTCTTTGCTTTGTAGAAGAATTTCCACAAAAATTCATACTTATAAAAATAAAATAAAATAAATCACAAAAATTCCATGCTTAAGTCGATTAAAATTCATGCCCAAAATAAAAGTAGAAGCATGAAATCATCTTGAACAGGATGAGAAAACACACAAGGCCAACCAATGTTTGGTACTTTTTTGTAGATTTCCCACTATGCCCTAAATTACAAACTCTTCACCATTAGCCCTCAGATTTCACATAGAACGTCCATAAACACCACAATTTCTACATCATAAAGGCATATGATAATGAAATCTATCCATGCACATATAAATTTGAATTTGCATAATCCAGAAACGGTATCAATTAGAATAAAATAAAATAAATTACCATAGTTTTCATCTCTTCTAAATTGAGTTTTGTGGGGTCCGTTTCCTTTGTCGTGCATGGAAGCATAAAGTTTCTGGTAAGCCCTATATAATCTGCAAAACAAGAAACCAGTTATGTAGATGTAACAGAAAATACCTCCTATGTTTGTAGAAGTTCCCATAGGAGTTAATAGTGTTACCTCTTCTGCTGTCGGGAACTGTTGATTGGTGATGAGAACTCAGAAGATACATACTGGTCCAGAAAAATACTTCGATACATGAAGTGCCAGAGTCCAGCAGGACCACCAATACCAACAAAGGCTTCCCTGAATCTCTCTGGTGAGTCGGTAGCAAGTCTGGGCTGACCTAAATGAGGAGACAAAGATCCAGAACGAGGGGATGGATCAACAGGCAAATCCTCAACACGCAAGCCGCCATCTAACAAGGATCTCTGAACTTCACTGAGAACATTTGACTTCAAAAGGACCATTTCAATACGAATCCTATACAATGCAAACACATTTTTCAACGCAATGAAGTTGAAAGTAGTAAATTCATTCCTGAGCAGAAACTATGGACTGAATCTTTGTGGTACACAGGGAAGGCACTACGTAGTGACATCATTATAGTATCAGAGTCACTAATTCTATTTCTGGCCAAAAAAATGTATGGCATATTCATACAAGAAAATAAAAAGAATCATAACTTTGAATACCAAATACATTGATCAAGTTGAGAAAAACATATCGTACCTGCAATCTTTAAGATGATAAAAGGCTTCAGAACTGGTGGTGAGCAACATCAAGTATGTATCAACCTGGAATAGAAAGTATCATTTATGTCATTTCTTGCATAATAAATAGATTAAACAAAAACTGAATAGTATATGTTTAGTAACCGAGGTTGACAGCCAGCCATTTCTGCAGTTTTGAGATGAAGTGCAATCACTGACTGACCAGCATGCAGTTATGTAAGCAATTGAATTTGCATGATAATGTTCTGAATCTAAGACTTACATCAAGATAATGGACATAAGCATATAAAAATGCCATGGGATTATATCTTGGCAAGCAAATTGGTGAGAAAGATTCAGATGTCCTGGATAAAACCAATAAAACATGAAAGATTAAAGCCTCGCAAATAAGTAAACAGATAAAAAGTGCCAAATGAACAAAGACTCCACTTCAACAGGGCAACTGTGGTTGTTTTAGTACAATAATTTTTTTCAGGGCCACAAGTATTTAGAATATTTTATAAATTAATAACTCATTGATACCTGCCAATACCATTATACAAAACAGGGTCTGCGTCTTATGTCCATCAGAGAATTGACGAAAAATGAACAGTTGACATGATAGAAGTATAAAGTACCACATATAATCCTCTAAAATGGTCATGATCAAGCTTGTCCTAAGAGCAAAGCAAGAATTTTTACATCTACGGAGGACACGAAGAGTTCTATCAGATGCTAAATGATTGAAATAGTTTAACCAGGAAAAGAATCTATTTCACGGAAAACACTATTACACTGGATCACTTTACCATGAGAATCAAATGAGATCCATAAATTATGTACAATAATTTGCATAATCATTTTCCATCATTGAAATTCTATGCAGAATAAAATAGTGACCAGATTCCTCAGGTATGGATATCAACAAACTGGGAAATGCTCAGGTGTGCGTTTATGCATTTAAGCCCAACCATGTGCGCTGGGTAATTAATTAAGGACATCATGAACAGATAACTCCCAGTTCTATAGCAAACAATTCAAGCTTGTATGTACTCCCTCCGTCCCAAACTAGTAGTACCTTTTTCCATTTTTGGCTGCACCATAATTCATATCCCATTTGAAAATTCAGTTGTATATTTCCCAAAATATCCTTAACTTTTGAAATAACAATGTAAAATTTTAAACCTTAACTTTTACATTGTATCTAACAATGTAAAATTTTAAACCTTAGCAAGGTAGTCTAGGAATTTCAAAATGGGACAATGCATTAAATGCTTAAAAAAGTTAAAATCCTGAAAAGGGACAAGAATTTTGGGTTGGAGGGAGCCATTTACTAGAGAAAGAAAGCAACCTCAAACAGGAAACAATTAATCTAAACTACTCCAGTTTACACCAATTGTCCACTAACTAGTACACCCAGCAAATACATTATAGCAGGTCAGTGGGACTTATATGAGTCCAAAGCTTACTACATCATACAGAGACCTAAGATTGCATTTGGTTAACTGTAAAGACCAAGTCTTTGGACATCTACAAAAATCCATCAATTTGCAAAGCGCACTCAAGCAGAAACTTCTGGGTCCTTAATCCATTTGGTGTAGCAATCAGATGTATTTCGGCCATTATACAAGCACTAGTTCATGTCAGGTAGTCATATGAGAAGGTGAACTAACAGAGCCAACGGACCAAGGAAAATGTGATTGACAGCAGCAGATCTTTAAGTTCATGGGAGGACAATAACCACTGGGGCATGTGAATGGACGGGATTATACAGATAAGACTTCAAGACTAGAGTGTTGCTGAAATTCAAAGAAACTGACGTGATTGTAAGAACAGAGAGAGTGAGTGAATATGAAAATATAAAGAGAATCAATTCGAGCAAATATATAAACAGATGTGAATAAAACTAGTGAGAGAAACCTTTTCCTCAAGACCAAACACCAACATCTTTCTACTCAATCATATGAATAGTATTCAATTGATATCTCTTTCCTGAAGTTTGTGACATAAGTCATTAAGTTGAACTTGATAACAACAGTGCTTGCAATGTTTTGGTGCCAGTCTAACAAGTCCTTTCAATTAGGAGCAAGCTAAAAAAATCCTTAAGAGCCACCCACCTAATCCATCTGTCTCTGGAAATAAAAGTGCAAATCATACCAGGAATGAGACACCATGCCAAGTTGTCCCAATCCCTGTGAGGTTGTCTAAGACCGAGATTCTGAACCATGATTCACAAGGCAATACACAAATGGTAGCTCATAAACTCGTTTGATTTTAAAAGAAAAACTAATTGCAAAAGCATGACCTTCACAGGCTTTGCTAATAAGTTCAAACTGTTCAATTGAAAAGATGCCATAACCACACTTTGCTCAAGAAACTAGTAAATGAGTCTATATCATAGCTTTTAAGTTCCCCCCGTAACATATATTGAAGAAAGCTAATAAAGATATTCACATGTAACCAATACAACATCAATAGTAGATATCTGATTTCTGCATGCTTCTTAATTATGTTGCATTTTCAAAATGTTCAGGTTATAAAAGCGAATTTACTTGCCTAAATGATTCAGATGACATAACAAAATTTGCAAGTAGCAGCATATCATCAGGATGAAGGGATTCTTTCTGTGCACCAACAAGACTGATGACCTGCATTTGAGATCCAATTTAGATGATGAAGGGATCAGTAAAATACTTATGGAGATGAAAATTGTCACTTGATTGAATGCTCTCTTATGCATTTAACAGAGAGAAGAAAAAACCTTGTGTTTACACATTAATATTGCAAAAAGCACACCCGAATCAGTAATATCTTGCAAAATGGCACCTGCAGCTTGCCTTGTTGCATAGGCAAGTGGAAGACAGGTGTATGCATGAAGAAAAGTGGCTGGGTTCCTAAAATCAAAGTGATTAGAGAAATTTTATTAGCACAACCCAACTTTCAAACAATTAAAGACAACAATTAGAGAAGTGATGAAGTGAAATAGATGATAAAATCGTATATCTTTTTGCCGTTGTCTAATTATGTTCAAGGGGTCGGTGTAATTAGAGACCTCCTCGGAGAATAATAAAGAATCAATATAAATGGCTACTTGTCAAGCAATTACTAATGTATTTTATTGAAAAAAGAAAACTTCGCTGAATTGATAAAGACGCATGATCTAAATTAAAATTTTCAACACAAAATCTACATTCATAATCAACATGATGTATCAGGTTGACATAAATAGTTGTAAGGCTAACCCATAATTATTTTAGAACATTTATTAAATGAATTAGTCATATCATCTGACGATTTAAAATAAAAAAATCCAAATACTTGAAGTGAACAAATGTAAGAGCAAGGAAATAAACTTCTTGTTGAAAAATAATGGTTATGGTCCATTGAGCAAACATGTAAATAGTTGTAAACAACAAAAGCTTGAATTCAGCTTTCTTAAGATATTATATAAACAACAAGGGTGCACAAACAAAAAGCCAGAATATTTAAATTTGGGACTGTAAGCATTGGTGATAGAGGAAACTCACACGTTCCTATTCCCGGTCCTGATTGAGTAGAATCATAAAAATTGTTGGAACCATTGGAAAAATTGGGTTGTTAATAGGAACCACTCCTTCATTGGAACATTTATTTTGACAAAAAGATCATTTAATAAAATTTACTGTGTGCAAAGAAGCCCGAGGAAAGTGCCATTATTCACATTGAGAGAAAGCTTTTAGGTAAATGGAGTGCCAAAATTGACATGGATTGAGGTCATGAAAAAAAGAAAAAAGAAAAAAAAAAAGAAAAAAGAAAAAAAGAAGTGGTATGTGGTTTACACAGATTACAATCCTAAAGACACACACAAGAAGGAAACATAATTCATGTAGCGGACCCAAATACTCCATCTTCTGAACCAACCACCCTTAACGTTCAACAAATTGTACAAATTCAGAAAAGATTGACTAGAGAATCCCACACAGTTCATAAACAGCAGCAGCAGAACAACAAATGTGAAGTTGTAAACACAACCAATTACTAAAAATCCACAGAGGAAAACATATAACAAACAACACTCTCTATTAGATTCATGATGTGTATATATAAAGGACACCTCAAGCATCTATTGCTTCAGATAGATTTCATAACTTTCAAACCACCATACTCTTTCCTACACATTCGAAAAAAGTATTCAACATCATTGCTTCTCCAAATTTGAGAAGGAACTCAAAAATTCAATGAAGAATTTTAAAAGATCCTAAACAGATTTTCCAACTCTAATTAAAGTGAGCAGGATAGAATAGAGCAGAAAAACAAACCAACTGAAAGAATGGATGAGAGAAGAGAAGACAACATCTGTTCCTCCAAGCAAAGGTGTCATATCAAACTTTGGGTTCTTCTCGAAACATCTATTTACAGACTTTGTAAGAATAAGTATCATCTGCATTCATATCACAATCAATAAAATGAGGAACTACAACAACTATAAGGAGACATTTTGGTTACTTAAAACACAATTAGATGGAAAATATGAGAGATAAGCAACTGAGACTTTTAATAAAACGCCACAAAAAAAGAATCATATTGAAATACAACAATCTTGAGAAGGTATTTCGATGGGAATGAAAAAACTACCTGACCGTAAATAAGCTCCAATTGCCCCCTTAATGACTCGTAAGGCTCTTCTGTAGAGCTTATGCAAACCAAGTAGATTGGACCTTTTACAAGGAAAGCCACCTGAAAGTACAAAGCTTCTGAGTCAACAGATAATAAATGATTGCCATATATGATGGCAATGATTTTATGAATATATATTTATATAATGGAGGAATGGGCCCCCAATTTATTCGATGCGGCATCATCTTTCGGCCCCTTTATAGAAAAGATTTTAGTTATTCCTATTTTCTTGGAAAGAAAACGATTCTCCTAAACGTATCTTGTAGTTTCAGACAGTCGGGGTGTCTCAATCTGGTAGATACTGGGGGCAGTCCCCAGTATTTGAGAGGGAGCTGCACCTCGTGGAAGCCAAGAGTACGAATGATTTTTCGTTTGACCATATAACTGGCAGCCGAAAATGATAGGGAACATTTGGCTTTAAGAATCCCAAGACCTGCCCGGCTGTGAAACTAATTCAGCACTTGGTTCTGATAAAGTATAACTTATGTAAAATTCAGGGGGTAGCTCACTTGGCATAGAGTCTCTAGAAGACTGGAAACAACCAGAGGTTTGGTGTTCCACTCCCGGGGGTCATTAAGCCTCCACATTGGGCTTACCCGATGCTTGTAATATGGGAATGATTGTGAGTGTCTGAAGGGATTAGTTCCGCTACCGAAGGGGGTGAGCACACCCCCTGTTACCAAAAAAGAAAAAACACATTTCTTAGGATATTCTTCTAAATTAGGGTTGATTGATTATGATACAATGTTTTTACTTATCAAAGAGAATTCCATAGTTTTCCTTTGAAATACTCCTGATTCAAAAGAAATAAATTATCTCTCTACAATCATATTTCAGATCTAAAAAGCAAACAGTTTTTAAAGTTTCGTTACCCCCTCCCCGCTGTAACTAACCTTTCTTTATTTCTCCCAATGATTAATAAAGAAAAAAGTTTCACTTTTTTTGCATTAGAAAGACTTAAACTTAGAATTCTAGATGGCAGTTGGGTTGGCTAAAGTCACTTGTTGACAACCAAGTGGTCTCGAGTTTGACTCACCCAGGGCTAACCTGATACTTGTGGTAACTGCATGTATCGGCATGGAACAATGCCACTCGCAAAGGAAGTGCGAAACACCACCCCCCCACCCCCAAAAAAGAGAGAGAGAGAGAGAGAGAGCTTATATTTTTCCTTCTTGGATGAGTACAGCGCACTGAGCAGAAAATTATTTTAATCACAAATTGACAAGATTAAGTTTGACACGGATAAGGTAAGGAGGTTCATGAATTTAATCTGTCGCACGAACACATCCCTAGCCACCTTTTTCTATTCTCCTTAGACAAAATTTTGCCTCTCGTTTCCATTTATGCTATTCCCTACTGAGCACCTTCCCATGCATTTATGCATAGAAGCTCTCGAAACATTACCTTCTCTATTATGCAGGAGAGGAAGAGAAAACCACCATGTAAAAGATGTCCTTAACTTTCCCCAAGTCTTTCTAATACCATATAGATTGTCATCCTTCTTTGCTCTATAAATACACAAGAGTAAGGGTATGACAAGACTGAAAAGTCAGCACACGGTCTCTTTGAGCTCCCTCATTTGACTGGTTGATGTTCAAGATTTACTAATAGAATAACAAAGCATGGGATCAGCTTTAGATAGGACAAAGTGTTGATCATGGAAAACAAGTGAAAAGTCAGATGCGGCACCACAATGCTCAAGTTGTAAGTCTATTGTACTAACTCTACAATGCCATTAAAAATATGCATATTACGTTCTAGCTTGAGTCATTTCTTCTTGCAATTTATTTATTGATTATCATTTTGAAAGGCTTCAAGTTACAAAGAAAACAACCACCATTCTGAAAGAGTAAAGGTAAACTGTTTATTCAAAATTCAACCCCTCCAGCATCAGTCAAATTCTCAATTTCAGGCAAGGCAGGTAAAGCTATTAGCAGCAATCCATTATCAGGATCAAGTCATGCTGAGGCTAACTAGAGTCAGTTCTGTCAAGAATGTTCATTTCATAGTTCAATATGAAAATATCAGAGGTCACCTGCCTATATATCTCCTTATTTAACGTTCAACTCATGGCCACATCCATGTAACATAAACGATGAATATCTACTACAACAGTAACAATCAAAGAAGAACCCACGAAAAGATCCTATATGAATTGATTATAAATTTTCTAAATCTGTTGAAGAATGACTTGTCAATCCATACATGTTTCCAAAGCCAAATAAGTGCATTTTTACGCTGTCACATGAACAGAACAGCCGCCAACATAATGGATTCATGACCTCATACTGAAAAATGAAACAAATATGTATTAGTTTGTTGAAAGATAATTTCTGCTTTTGAGGTATTTAACTAAGAAGTTCCCTTCTCTCAACCATGGCAGGGTGTGAGAACCCCAAGCCGACCCCACTCTTCAAAGAAAAATAAGGATAAGGAACACTACATGATAGGTTACATTGTTCCAGGAAAACCAAACATCAAGATTGAAACTATGTCAATAATCAAGGCAATTACACATTAGTGGTCCTGTTATGCTAGGCAAAGGTTGGGATCACCAAGTATGGAAATAAGTTAAATAACCTTCTGCTATATTCGGACAAAGTGGCTGTCCTCAAACTCAAAAATGTTGTTTTAATGTTTGATAACTCAAGCTAAAGCCATTGTCCCAGTGGAATGACACCTAGAATATCATTACAAATAGGCTATAAAAATGCAACCCTAAGGCTTTCTGCTTTTCCCAACAATGAGAATAACAGAATTGGTTACTCAAGATAATTAAATTAGTCTCCTTAGCTTCAAGCTGCAATATGCAACTCAAGTTTTACAGAAGCTACTATCTGTAGTGCAACGGTTAAAAATACAAAGTTATGCCCGAAACTGCTCTGAATAGAATCATCATGCATGAGAAATCACTAGAAACACAATTTGAAACTTGTAGGAAATCTGAACCTAACTGTATCAGATGTGCAGCTTCTTAACATATTTCACAAGTATTAGAGGGAACAAATTTTAATTAGGAATATAGTTAACACTTGTATCATAACGTACAAGAGAGAAGTTCAAATTCACGTTAGGAAGAAGTTTCAATCGAATACAAAAAGTTTAAGTACAGATAGTTCGAGCACATTGAAGAAGTAAATTATGCTGACCTGGTGTTTTCCTGCCCTTACCAACTTGATACGATCTCCACTGAAAAAGAAAAAAAATTCAAAAAAGGAAATTATTAAAACTCCTAGAGTTGTCTTCATATAAAAAATTACCCAGAGAATAATCAAATATTTAAAAAACAGAAATAATAAATAAATGATAAAGTTGCTAATGCTGTCAATGTACCCATTCTCCACAAATGATATGATGGCCTGCAATGTTGCTGAAAATCCCGCTAGCTTGTGTTCATCTCCATATCTTCAAGTAAACAAAATAAAATATGGTATAGAAATGAATTATATGGAAATTTTGAAATAACTAAAGAGACCACATATAAATCCCAATTCATTATGCATTGAGATAAATAGACTTTCAGCTTCCTAGTGCTGATATTTTCATGCACCAAATACACACCTGGAATATATTGGTTTTCCAGAGTTGCTCAAAATAAAAAAGTGTTTCTTCCTTTTCCTCCACGAAATAGAAGCATCATCCTGCACTTGGTTTGTTAATGAAACATGACATGATATTGCAGGCATCATAAATTAACTACAATTAGGAAAGGGAATCATTAGCTCAATATGACTCTGGTTTTCTTAGTCATGTATTGCAATGGAAGAAAAATGAAAATAATATTCAAAAGATCTTCCAAAAAAGATAATTTAACATGAAATGCCCAGAATATGTCAAGTTCGGAACTAACTAACTGCTGAAAATCAAGGACTTGAAGTTAATATGACAAGCAAAATCCGAGAATTCAAATTAACTCGAAATTAAGAGCATATAATTTAAAAAGAATTCAAACTCGCATGAACAGTTCTCAATGATTCTCCACAATCCCCAATTTCTTTAACAAGCAAATGAAGAAATGAAATTCCAGAAATTTTCAATTACAATTGACATGTTCTAACTCACCTCGTCGACATGCCGCTTCCCGGGAACCCAAGGAGAGGCTTGTGAATCTGAAACCCTATCGAATATATCATCATCATCATTTTCATTAACTTCACGAATTTCGTCTTCACCAACATCCTCAATTCCAGACGCACTAGTGCCACTACTACTGCCCCTCCCACCGGCATATCCACTGCTACTGGGGCTCGACGGCGCATCGACTTCGAGCTCCGAATTGGTTCTCCTCCACACAACGCCACTGGACGAACTCTCTCGGACCTCTTCTTCGACCACTTCAACCTCAGAGGACTCTTGTTTTTGATTGATACGACTCTCTTCTTCGAACTCACCTGCTGTGCTCTCCTGGTGATTGTGATTATCGACCAATCCATTTGTGACCTCCTTGAATGGCTCTTCATTGGTGTCGGGTTGGGACAATGCGATTGTGGCCAATTTATCTTCGATAGCGTCGAGTGAGTGATCGATCGAATTGGGGTTAGGGTTAGGGTTTTGTTCAGTGGTGTGGTCGAAAGACGTTGACGAGTTAGAATCGGACGCCATTAGTGAGAGTGTGAGTGAAAACAAAAGTACATAAAAAGACAATTTCGATGGGGTTCTACGAGGAGTTAATTGACCTGAGATTCATGGCCAATTGAGCTTGTAGAGAGAGAGAGAGAGTGAGGAGAGAGATTTTCTCTACCAGTAGTTCTTCATCTGCAACGACTATTCGATGCGAAACAACGGTCTGACCAGTAGGTGGCTTTGGGCCCAGTTGAACTGGGCCCCAGATTGTAAAAAATGGGCATGGGCAACTAAGAAGAAGATAATAGACTTGTATGGTCTTGGGCCGATTGGGCCTGCATAGTCCATGTGGATGAAATAGGAGAGGTGGCTAATTTAGTGGCCTGTTTGGCTTCTAGTGTTAGGTAGGCTTAATTGGACCAGAATAGAACTGACATGGGCCATACGGCCCAAATAAGTGACTCCATATATGCATTTTTGACTGGGCCATATGGTTCAATTTAGTCAAACAATAAATAATTGAAAAAGAGGTCGAAAGAAAATCCCTCATGACACGTGACTTGTTTATTAATTTATTTATTTTTTCAAATCTCTATGTCAATACTTTTAGGAATGTAGTACAACTATAATCATATTAATGGTTAAACTTAAAGCAATTTAGGTATAAATTAATAGAATAAGTTTCACTTAAAATTGAGCCTCTTCAGCTACCAATATTAAGCATCTTATATTTACATACATTCAATTGGTGGATGTTTATCTATACAGATAAGATATTTTATCATAATTTTGATACGTATGAATGAAATGAAAAGAAATAACTATTCTCATTTAATTGTTTGATTACAAATATATGATTTAAAAATTGAATGATAATCATCATTTTAAGTAATGGTGGTGGAAGTGATGGAAGGTAATGGTGGTAGTGGTGGCAATGGTAGGAGGCGGCAGTGATGAGTGATGGCAGGCAGGGGAGGAGCCAAGATTTTAGTTCAACAAGGGCAAAGTGCACTTGATTGAAAAATAAAATAAAAAAGGGTTAATTTCACCTACACCCCCCGACATTTGCCTATATTCCACTTACACCCCCTCTACGTTTCATAATTCCACGTACACCCCCTGTTAGTAACCACCGTCTAATTTCTTAACAGAAATGTGTGAGTTTACTTTTTTCCCCATCAATTATATATTAAAATTTATCACTTAAATTAAAAGACTTAAACACCTTCTATTTCTCTCTCTACACACAGACACGTGATGTTAACACCGGTGACCAAGTCGGACGGCGGAGATCGCTTCACCTCAGTAACTTGTCGAAGATTGCTTCACCCAAGTTGGATGGCGATCCCAAGCCCTGTGAAGTTCATCAAACGAACATCAGAAGAGCGTGGGATGCGCAGATAGAACTTTCTCTCTCAATATACTTTCTCTCTCTAGAAAATCCTCTCTTTAAAAATAAAATTTGTTGACACATTCGGGATAACTTCTGAACAAAACCTACTGAAACACATTACAGAAAACACAAACAAAATACACCACACGAACGTCTTACATAAATAAAGTAGAGAACTGGTTCTGGAATCAATTTTCATCACCTGCGAGAAAGAGAAAGTAAAGAACTGGTTCTGGAATCAATTTTCATCACCTGCAAGATCTACAATGTATACTTTGTAACAGACAAGGTAATTAACATCAATTGAATTCATCACACTCCACATCTATAATTGCAAATTCATTCCTTTCAGCTATTGAAGCTCTGAATCGAGCTTTTGAAGTATCGATTTTCGTTTCAATTGGTACCCATAAAGGAATTGATTGCTGAAAACGAAGCTCGCAACAGAAGATGGCAGCTGTAATAAGAACCTGTGTCAGCTGTAGTTGCACCTCGTCGATCCAAAAATCGGTGATGGCAAGGCAACACGACAGGAAGCTCCGACGATAGCGACTCCTTCTACAATGCTAACTCTTGTCGTAACTCCATTGTCCTCTTTGTCTAAACCCAATTCAGTCCGGCAAGTAGTGATTCAGTCATACCAGCCTTGCATCCCGGTGTTGTCGATGGCGGCAGACGGTGAAAGTAGATCTGACATCCCAGTGTTGTCGACGGCGCAGACGGTGATGGTCTCCTGGATGTTGATATCAGCGGCGAGGTGTGTCACCATCAAGTACAGAGGTGTCCGACGAAAGCCGTGGGGCAAGCCCTCGACGGAGATCCGTGATCCCAAACGCCAAGGGTCTAGAGTTGGGCTCGGGAAGTAAAGCAATTATGAACTTCCCTCTCGAGGCCGGAAAGTTGTATGACACAGCGGTGTAGTGGGATGGCCATCGTGAAGTTTGTTGGGATGGCCGGTGGTGAGCAAGGAAGATGCTGACACCAGCAGAAGAATCGAAGATGGGTGTTGGCAGTGATCAGTTAAGGGTAATTTTGTAAATTTGCATTGGTCAATGAGGTAAAAAATGTCCTTTCAAGTTGTGGAAGGGCAAAATTGACCTTGTACTGATTTGTTCATGCTGACACCATTAGTTGCTTAACGGCAGGGGGTAATTTGCTACATAAACCAAAACCTCAAGGGAGGTAAGTGGAATTATGAAACGTAGAGGGAGTGTAAGTGGAATATAGGCAAACGTCAGGAGGTATAGGTGGAATTAACCCAAAAAAAAATCAAAAAGTATGACATATATAAAAGGGAAAATTACATATAAATGGAGTCAAAGTTTCATATTTACTTAGAGACTGAGTCAAAGTTCCATATTTCTCTAAAATGGATTGCTGAGGTGGCACATGATTTTTTACTGTTTAAAAAATTGTGGTGCCTAAAATGCCCTTCCCTAATAAAAAAGTAGTACCTTCAGTTCAAAAAAGTAGTACCTTCAGTTCAAAAAAGTAGTACCTTCGGAGAAAAAGTAGTACCTTCGAGAGTGTTTAAAAAACATGGTACCTGGACGCCAAAAAGTAGTACCTTCAGTTCAAAAAAGTAGTACCTTCGAAGAAAAAGTAGTACCTTCGCGGAAGGGTATTTTAGGCATCACAATTTCTAAACAGTAAAAAACCATGTGCCACCTCAGCAATCCATTTTAGAGAAATATGGAACTTTGACTCAGCCTCTAAGTAAATATGGAACTTTAACTCCATTTATATGTAATTTTCCCTATATAAAATCTCGACTGATATTCTCATTTTGTAACGATGTATGAATTGATTTAAATAAGTAGAATAAAAATAAAAAGAATAAGAAGAGAAAAAAAAAATTGTTGCAGTACATACATTATACAAAAGTCAAAAAAGAAAAAATTTAAGAGGTGTAAAAAAAAAATTTGAACAAGAAAAAGGAAAGAAAAATTAGAGACGCAAAAAATAAAAAATAAAAAATATTGTGCAATTGAAGAAGGGGAATATATATATCTTTTTTTTTTCTCCAAAAATGAAATTAAATGAATTTAAAATCTTGAGTGGGGACATTATTTAAAATTTACCATAAAAGTATACGTATATAACTATATGTAACTAAAATATATATATCTATGTATAGTGAGTTGGAGCAAGGTGAGGGCCAACGTGCCAAGGCCCTGCCCCTAGTGGCAGGAGGTCGTGGCAGTAGCGGTGGTAGTGATGGTGACAGAAGTAGGTGGTAGTGACAGTGATGGTTTTTTAGACTTGGAACATGATGTTTATTATTACTATTATTATTTTATTATTTATAATTTTATTATTTTTTATGACCATTCCATAAGTTTAGATACGGAATGAATTTTCATTCTCGTTTTAATTCATGCGTACCAAACTAGGTCTCAGAATCCTAGAAACAACTCCATTAATGTTATGTTTGTTGAGAATAAAGGGTTGAATAACGATGAAAGTAACGAGGGGATAAAAAGAATGTCTCTTGTTTTGTTGGAAGGAATAAAAGTAGCATCACCGGCACATCTATTTTGGAAGTTTGGTGCTTTATCAACTAGGTCACTGAATAAAGTCTCTCTATCAAAATTCTCCCACCGATATATTAATAAAAAATTATAAAAACTATCATTCCATTCCTTCTAAAAAAAAAAAAAAGAAGAAGAAGAAGGTGCTACCCATACATCTTTGACGTTTACATTAAATTCCTTTCCCTTCCCTTCCATTAAATATTTGATAGTAGAAAATATATCAGAGCTCTCGCTCCCTTCTCCTGCATTTGTGTTAGATATTCGATGTTTAAATTAAATCAACAATTTTAAAAATATTTGAATCGGTTATGTAATATTAAATTTGGAGATAGAGACACAATAATCATACAACAATAATGTGATATACACAATACATTTCTAAATTATAATGCTACAATACTTTTAAATCTATTTAATATATTTACATAATTATTTTATCATCAATCTAAATTAATTGCATGAGTAATTTAAAAATATTACATTGTGATTACAAAATTATTGAATTTTCAATTTAAATCCACATAAAAAATACTAAAAAATAGAGTACAGCAGGGGATGATGGATCTGAATGAAGCTGCTGTATTAAAAGTGTTACATAAAATATAATGCAGGTCCATCACTCCTATGAGATACCACATCAGCCTTTTGGCAGCAGTTCCACTGCAACTCCGCGGAAATCATAGGTTACAACTGTCAAATGTTGCCATCCCCGCCATAAAGCAAAAGATAGGGACGGGTCGTGAAAAACGAGGGGAACCAAACCTAGCCAAAACGACAGGCTCGGGATAGATATAGTCAACTAACCATCTGTATCATTGGGCCCCACCTAATACATATCTAGTGGCCCCACCTAATGCGAATCTAGCGGTCTATATTTAATCTCGCAATCCGCGATCAAAAGGAATGGTTGTCTTTTCATACTAACTACTGCACCTTTTGCAATTGCTAATAGTAGTGGGCTTGGATGGTACCATTGATCTTTGATAATCACATAATGACGACATTGTCCACATTTTCAGTCCAAATTTTGATCAATTGTCTAGTCAGTTTCTTGTAAAAGTTGAATTCTGATGTGACCCACTGATCCTATTACCCATTTAAGCTATTTGGTTGAGCCGATATGAATATAATGTTCAATCATGTCCCCACACTAAATATAACCCAACTAACCCACACTCTGAGTGGGGTCTCTCTTTTCTCAACAATAATTGGCGCGTGATGGTCATTTTGATCCCACCATAAGTAAATTAGAGAGGTTAGAAAACAAATATCCATATGTTCTTCTTAGCACAATCACTATTTTTCTGTTGTGATATGAAGATTGGAAGTTTGAAATAAGAAAATAATTATTTTATTTATCTCTTTAGTTCTTATATGAAAAGAATTTAGTGCATCTAAGTGACGTCACGACTTTAGGAACATAACTGTTAACCATTTGCTTAATTTTTTAAGAAAAAAAAAATTGTTTTTCATAATTCCAAGTGTACAAGTACCATGTACATTGCTTTTGTTCAAAAAAAAAGGACATTAGGCCTAAAAACCTATCCTCCTTTCTTTTAGTGGAGTGACTAGCTCATTTTCCAAAAGCAAACATCTCTTGCATTCAAAGGAATTGGATTCAGAGAGGAAATGATAAATTATTATATAGTTCGGGATCTCCTGACCAATGATGTATTGATGTATAAGTAAATGTATTAATTTTAACTTACCTTTTTTTAAAAAAATTTAAATCTTTTTTAAAAAAATTTAAATATGTGATTGATCAAAATTATATAATACGGAATAGTATGATTGACACGGGACCAATAATCCCGCAAACATGTAATAATTTCTCTAAACATATAATTAAATTACATAATTATTTTGGTACTTGGCATCCCACTCATGAATTCATATAAAGAGACATTTATCTACATAATTGATTTGCCTTTATAAGTGATAAAGACGAGGATTGGGGCCCACTTAAGTGGCTAAAATTTTACAGCAATGGGATTATAGGAGTCATATTTCCAAGTCTAGTATGCTCATTGATCAATGGAGTATTTTTGGACTCCATAGCTTTTAGAGGCAATGTTGTTTGTGAACGACTTTTAGCATTTGATATTTTTTACTTTAGGAGTTAGGCTGTTATATATATATATATATATACACGCGCGCGCATATAATGCACTAATGACATCCAAGAGAGCGTGAGTGCGTGACAATATAAAAGTGGCGCGAAAATGACACTATTATTTATTTGAACAATTTGATTTGTGATTTTTATAGTTACTTTTAAATAAAACATTAGTTATTTGAAGGGAAAAAATAAGATAAAATTTAAGATAAAGTACAGTTACATTTTTTAAAGTTTGACAAAAGAATAAACAAATGAAAGTTATTTATTTTTTAGACAATAACATCCCTCTAGCTGAAATTGCATTCAAACAAAGCCTTAAATCATATAAAAAGATAAAATTATTCCTCCAAATTAAATTCACATATATTACAAAAGATCAGACCTTACAAAATGACGCAATAGCCCTATTCATTTTTTCTCATCTCTCTGTTGCTTTCACATCATCTATGCCTCTCTCTATCTATCTGCTAACATATACATATATATATATATACACACACACACACACAGGCATATGTATATATATAACAACACCACCACCAACACCGGTGGGGCAGGCGCAGGGGTCGTCAGCCGCTGCCGCCGCCACACATCAGCTTCCGCCGCCGCCGCCACACCGCTCTTCATGGTGTATCCCCCAACGACAACTACGACAAGTCGAGTCGGTTGTCCGATCCCTCCTCCGCCGCCAGATCAAGTTTTGTATTGCTCTCCTCATCTCCGGCGTCGGTGTCAGAAGATCAACCGGCAGTTTCTCCGTCGTCTTGGAACGAGTTGTGGACAAAATATTAATAAACTTGTGCCTATACAAATAGTTTTCAATTGTACAACGAAATTTAGAAAATTTTGAAGTTCAGAAACAAATTTCATCAAAATGCTTAGGGTACTATATATATACACACACACACACACATTGTAATATATATTTGTATTTATTATATTAAATAACTCATCGAATTCATGAATCAGTTTAATTTTTTTGAGACCAAAAATTTTAAAAAATCTACACTAATCTAAATTCGTGTACTGATTAGATCCACATAAGAATACTTATTTATGAATCAAGGTATTGATGGAATAGATTAAAAAATCAACCCAAACACAAAAACCCAATCAAATTGAATCAAATTTAAGAATAAAATAAACTCCCAACACGAGAGATGTTGCTTAGACGTGTTTAGTCCAACTATTCAAAGTTTGTAATGTGTGTGTGTATATATAAATATACGAGGAGAAAGGGGCTGTGCAAAATTTGGGTTTAAGGGAGAGGCCGTGGATTGGTGGTGGGTTTAAGAGGTGATGATTGTGTGGGTGGTGGCGGCGATTGACGATTGGTGGCGATGTCAGCAATTGGTGATGGGCTGGGATTAGGATTGTATGGGTTTTGGCAATGGCGGCGATGGGTGGTGGTGGCGGTGGCGGTGGCGGCAATTTTGCAGTGTGTGTGTATATATGTATACACATACACATACAGAGAGAAAGGAATAAATGTTTGGGTTGGGTTTAATCCAAGGTTCTTTAAGGCAATTAAAATATTAATTTTATATCAAATGGTAATAAAGTCAATTCATCATTGTCAGGGTCTCTTTATCCATTTTTCAAACTTGAAAAAATATCTTTGTCCAAAAAATAGATAATTTTTATCTGTGTGTCTTTTTGTCAAACCTCAAAAAAGTATGACTGTACTTTACTCTAAAATAAAAAAGGCTTAATTGTTTGAAGTTTAAATAAATAAGTTATTAGAGTTGCATAAAGAGGATCCTAGAGGAGTGGCATGGGAGAACTTAAGATCAATCTAGAATCAGATTCTTTATGTGTATAAAATTTAAATGACTCCAACTTTAATGTTTGAATTTCACACATGTATTTGGGAGTATCAAATTCACGATTTGAATTTAAAATTTGATAATATTTAGTTCAAAATTTAATAAATTTATTTCAATCACAAATCTAAGCCACAAATTCAATACATTCAAATTAGGAATCACGGACACTTCTACGAAGTAGTCGCATTCGTGTCGGACAACGACATTCCTCGGACACGTGTCCGACACTTCATAAACGTGTTTATAAATAAAATTTACTTTTATTAATTATTTCGGGCATACTTTTAAGACATTTCTAACATAAGTCTATCTAATAATCTTGAAAATAATAAAAATACTATCATGACAAAGTAGTGAATTAATAGTGTATATGATATAAAAATCATTACAATAGTGACATAATTTTATTTTCAAATTCATTTCATAACAACTTTTAGTATAAAAATTATATATAGTTGTGTCTATACTGTACCCGTGTGACCGTGTCCTAATTTTTTATAATTTGACTTGTCAACGTATCGTGTTCGTATTCAATGTCCATGGTACACAGCTTCCAAACATAATATAAATGTGCTCATTGAATTCAAACTCACAAGTTAAGAGTACTTGTTAAATAGTTGAAGTAAATTTACTTATTTTTAAATCTCTTAATCCAAATGAGATCTGGCATAATTCCTATAAAGTGGTTGTTATGCCTCTTATCCAGCTTGTGGATAGGCCAAGATGTTAGACTTATCTTGATTGACAGTAAGAGTTTGTTTGGTTAGCGTCAACTAGCTAAAAAAAAAAGAAACGAAATTTTTTTAAATTGGTTTGTATTTTGGTTAGCGTGAAAAGAAAAGTTTTCAGAAATATAATATTCCTGCAGCTGGTTGATTTTTCTCAAAATGTTTCCACCATAAAACACATGAAAATTTCAATTTCCTGTAAAAGTTGTATCATTATATGTTAATTTTCAATTATACCCTTGTCAGTTATTTCTCTTCCTTCTTTTTCAGACTTACAAAAAGAGCTTCTTTTTGATAGTTAGGACTCCTAATTATATTACAACTTTCTAACTTTTTAGATTAGGACTCCATAAGTTACAATTTTCTGACTCTTTAAATTGACTATATATATGTATGCACATATATTTTTATTCATAAAATAATTATTTATATTTTTTATTATGCTTGTTGCATGATATATATATATATTATTGAATTCATAAGAACACCAAACCAATGAAACAACATTTTCCTACAATAGTTTTTCAAAAAAATCATGCTAACCAAATACATGATTGAAACATAATTTTATTTTCTTTCACTTCACTCTCTTTTCCTTTCACTTTTCACCATTAATTTCCGGCTAACCCAACAAACCCTAAAAATATCCGCAAATATATATATAAACTCTATATCTAGAGTTTATACATAGATAGGTGGATCACTCCTTTTTTATTCTTTACTAGGCTCAAATTAAATGAGAAATAAATTCAGAGACTAAAGACTTGATTGGTTGAGTTTTATGTTTTATGAGAAATTTAAAAATTATACAAAAATTTATTTGATTAATCATTTCTGATAAATATTTTTTAAAAATTCAATTATACAAAACCCTATTTTCTAGAATTTTTAAGAACGATTTTTTGAATGACATATAAAGCAAACCCTAATTATCTCTGCGCAATATATCATTAGATGGGAAAAAAAAAAAAAGTTATTGGATTTGATGATATTATGAAATTAGATTATAGATTTAATAACCCAATATATATTTTCATCATTAGGGAAATTAGTATAAAATTTCCAAAAATAAATTTTACTTGGGATAAGATATGGATGAGGACTAAGACACTTCCCATGCCCCTGCCCAAGCCGGAGGTTTAGCCCATAGAATTGAAACACAGCTTTATGGACTCTGAGAAGTCACGGGACTGGGTGTAGCTCTCCTCATTCACTGAACACCCTCTAAAGGAAAGAAAGAGCATTAATGTATAACATTATTTGAATCCATCATATCACTTAAATTAGTGGTATTTTGTCATTAGAATCATTGTTGCGTTATTTTTATTTTCAAAAGCATGACTTTGAGAGATTGTGACCCTTAAAAGAAAAGGCCATACAAGGGTAAATTTGTCATCTAACCAAGAGGCACTTTTCAATAGCGAGTTCTCTTTCTGATTTGTCGCCTCAGCTTTTGTTACCAACCCCACCACATCACCTACTTCAATGGACCAAAACCTCCACCTCAATTTCCAATTCCAAATACACTTGGAACTGCTTTTGATCCACAAACTTGAAACTTAAAGTTGAAACACAAATCATATCATATATCATATATATATAACAGAAACAAAAAAATAAAATAAAAAATAACAACTATAAAATCAAATCATTTCCTGAATTAATCTAAAAAATTAGTATTACATTCAACTAACAATCCGCTTCCCACCACGAAGAACACAAACCCAAAAAAAACCCCCAAAAAAAGACCACTATTAAAATAAACCGTTACTAACTTACTACAGAAGAATAATAATTTCATTTCTCACTGTTACTGTAAATTTTTCTTTTCTCAACTCTATCGTTGTTTCTGTTAATCTTGGAACCCAGTTTTCTCCCAAATTGCGTTTCTAACCCTACTCAGATCCCTTCCTTTGAGAGTCCTCCCAATACCTTCGTGCACCGAGAAGGAGGCGATTCGTGACCTGGCCAACTGCCTCGCCAAGAACTCGTGCGGCGGAATCCGATTCCCATCGTCCTCGCCGTCGTCGTCGTCGTCGCTGTCTCTCCTCCGATTATCCGTGTAGTCCTCCTTCAGTATTTTCGACCAGTCCGGTACGTTCACCGGAAGCGACGCCGGCCTCGCGCCGGCCTCGTTTCCGACTCGCTTCGCCGACGCTTTCTTCGATGCACGCGAACTCGGAATCGCTTTCCGGAACTCGGGCGACGCGGAGCGATTCGAGTTCCACACCTCCGATTCGTCGAGCTCGAACGCGGTCTCTGAAACGATCGGAGCGTCTCTCTCGCTAGAAAGGAATCGGTAGTTCGCCGCTCTCGCGAAGTAACTCTTAGAGGCCGCCATTAATTTATCAGAATCGATCGAAACGAAGAACGTTTGTATATATATATGTCACTGTATATCTCTCTCACACTCTCTTTCTTCCTCTAAATTGGTCTCTCTCTGTCCTTTGCATGGCCATTTCCATCTGCTTTTATAAAGGTTGTAATGTAGTAGAAATGGATAAGGTTCTCTTTCTCTCTCTAAACTTGTCCTCTCTCTTCTCTCTCTATCTGCTGCTTTCTCTACAATTACATAAATGCCCCGGGATATTAATAACATGACACGTCATGTAATGGCCGGTTTAATAGTATTTAATACGATCACATCCTGATCCACTGCGTCGCACGGTACATTTAAAAGAAGTGACTAACTGAGACCCACTGAAATACGGATAAAACCTTCGCACTATTAATATCCATACGGGTAATACGTAGTAATAATTAGTAACTAAACTTTTTTTTAATCCATTTTAACTGTAATTGAGATAAATTCCAGAACAATAGGCAAAAATCATGCTGTCCAAATACATTGAATCTTGTGAGATCATAATTAATATATTGTGAGTCGTTTAATGCAGTACTGCATCGTGTAAAATCAAAAATTTATTATAATGTTATTTTTTATTAAGATAAATTTTACTTATTTTTTCTGAGTTTTATTAATATTCACTTATATATTTCATAATTTTATGAGGTTCTAATTTATGTAATAAATATTTTTTTTTATCCATTATAATTGTAATTGAGATAAATTCCACAAGAATTGTAAAAATCATGCCGTCCAAATTATACTGAATCTTGTGAGATCATAATCAATATATTAGGAGTCAGTTCAATACAGTACTGCACCGTACAAAACCAAATTTTTTTAAAATATTATTTTTTATTAAGATAAATTTTACTTATTTTTTCTAAGTTTTATTAATATCCACTAATATATTTCATATTTATGTAATAAATTTACTCTTGTCGATAGACACTTGAAGAAAATAAGTGATACCCACTTAAATATGGATAAAACCTTCGTACTATTTATATCCATAGGGTAATACGTAGTAATAATTAGTAACTAAATCTTTTTTTTTTTTTATTAATTTTAATTGTAATTGAGATAAATTCCACAACAATAGGCAAAAATCATACCGTCCAAATACATTGAATCTTGTGAGATCAAAATTAATATATTGTGAGTAATTCAATGCAGTACTGCACCGTACAAAACCAAAATTTATTAAAATATTATTTTTTGTTAAGATAAATTTTACTTATTTTTATTAATATAATAAATTTACGCAATAAATTTACTCCTATCGATGGACACTTGAAGAAAAGAAGTGATTAAGTGAGACCCACTGAAATATGGATAAAACCTTTGAATTATTAATATCCATACGGTAATAATAATTAGTAACTAAACCTTTTTTTGTTTTTTATCCAATTTAACTGTAATTGAGATAAATTCCACAACAATAGACAAAAATCATGCCGTCCAAATACACTGAATCTTGTGGGATCATAATCAATATATTGTGAGTAATTCAATGCAATAATGCATATTACAAAACCAAAATTTATTAAAATATTATTTTTTATTAAGATAAATTTTACTTGTTTTTTCCGAGTTTTATTAATATCCACTTATATATTTCCTAATTTTATGAGATTTTAATTTATGTAATAAATTTACTCCTGTCCATAGACACTTGAAGAAGATAAACACAATCTGTTGATATATGCATTAAAAAAATTTTAGTAGTAGGTCAATTTTAAACTTTTTAATGCTTGAAATAACAAGAAGCATTTAAAATTAATTACTGTTTTAAGAAGTAAGTGGGAATATAAAAACGTAAAAATATGAAACAGTGACAAACAGTAAAATTTACTTTTCTTATTAATGTGAATAAGATAGTTTGATTGATGAGGAGAAAAAATTTATTTGTGCTCATTGCGCACAAAAAAAGTTTTTCTCGACTGATAAGGGTATTTAAAAACCGCTGGTCCGCTACCCTATCCTATATTTTTCCATAGACTAGACCGGGATTCTTAAACAAAATGGTAATCGTGATCGTGATCGTGATCGTGATCGTGATCGATCAAGATCATGATCTGACGGTTGATGTTGGTGAGAGATGGTCCCGCACTTATGCAGTACAGGTGTTGTTTTAGAAGACGATAAAAAATCGGGTGAGGGGTATTTTGGGGAGTTGAGTTTGTCTTTTTTGAGAAAAGAAAAGGGTTTACCGGTGCTATAAAAGAGAAGGAAAAGTGGTCCCCTGGTTAGAGGTTCGAGGATGGAGACACGTGTTGATTTTGATGGAAGTGTTGACACGTGGCTTCATGCAAATGATGTCAAGGCTGGGGGCGTGATGGCACGTGAAGTAGGGTCGCCACCACTCGAATATAGCGCTCTGCTTGCGCCAGCTGGGTTCTGGGCTTCGCCTGTCCTCTCTGATGCGACACTCCAAAATCCTATTCACCAATTTTTTATTGTAATTTTTTTAAATAAGGCACTTGTCCCTACACTAGTACTAGTAATTCATTTCATATGACATAAACTTTTTCTATTATTTTAAATTAATAATTATATTAAATAATTTATTGAAATTTTCGTAATAATATATAAAATTTTTTTGTTTCAATTTAATTTTAAAATAATAAGAATTCATATTACTTACTCAATAGCATTACTATGTTGATAATCATTTCTAATAAGTAATAAATGAACTTGGTGGAAGAAATTTTCTCATAGTGATTGAATACAATAATAGCTGTAAATCACCTCAAAAGATCCTTTACAACTCAATTACACAGAATTAAATTGTCACTTTCCTTTATGTACAGTAAGTATCGTTCTTTCAAAAATTAATCAATCAATTTCTAGTAAACCTTCAGAAATAGTACGGTCTGCATAGTTCAATTTTTTAAAAAATAATTTCCTATTTTATTGAAAAATAAAAATTTATATAAAAATATAATTGGTTCAAGGTCTTCTGATTGACCGTTTCTGAAAATTATTTTATAAAATTTGGTTAAAAAAAAAAAATGTTTCACATAATTGTCTTTTATAATACCCTAACAAATAATTTTCATTTTTTATTTTTTATTTTTGAGAAATTAATTTCTAAGTGACGGACCAAGTAATACCTTAGGGTCCGTTTGGCAACCACAATTGTTTTGACCGGAAGTAAAAATAATGTTTATATTTTAAAGTGTGTTCAATACTATTTCGAAATTTATTCGGTAACATTTATTTGTTGCAAGATTTTTGAAAAGAATAACATTACAGCATGTTTAATAAAAAAAAGTGATACAAATTTAAAAAATTAAATAACTAGTTAAAAATATCATTTTAGATTATCATTGTATTTTTTAATGAAAATACTAACAAAAATACGAAACAGGCACCGTTATCAAACATGCACTTAATAATTAGATTTACAGTCACTCACACTCAATTTTTCTACTATAGTAATGCGTTCGAAAATTGATTTATTTTAATAAAAAGCATGATATAATCATATAATTATTTTTTAACATTAAGATTTAACATATATAATTGTATTGTATCGTTTCATTTCTCGAACAAACAAATGAAATGCAGGAGTATAAAGTTGAGCCTTACTATTGTTTTTCACTTTCCAAAAAATAGACTAGCATTATTCGATCACTAATAAAAATGTTCGTAGTTGCAATTATTTTATTTGATACAAGTTGATAATGTGTGCCTCAATTATAACAAGCAATCTTTATCCTAATCTAATTCTTTAATGAGGAAACCATAAACAACAAATTAATTGAGTATAATAATATTAGGGCATCTGAGGCAACTTTTGTGAGATGAAAGCAAACGCAATTGATAAGCATAGTCCCTTAATTTAGTGAAGTCATTGTATGGACCAATACTTTTACAAGAGAAAGTAAGTTTGCACGTTAAGAAGTTGCATTAGGATATAAGCCCACATCAAGTTGGTGGTTTGTTTAAAATATCTCATTGATATTGAAAGATTTGTTTCTTTCATCATTTTGCTTTACACCATTGCCAAAAGTTATTTTGACGTTTAGTTTTGCTGAATTTGAGATGAAAATGTAAGGGATTATTATATATAAAAATGTGTTAATGACTCATATATATTATTTGACGAAGTGAAAATTTCATAATTATAAAAATATAAAGTTGAACATAGAAAATACTATTCATTTGTCAAAATGTATTATTTTTTTGTGCACGCATATATTATTTTTTATCACCAGACACCACTTTTGTTTTAGGCATAGATCTACCACTTTTTTGGCAATGAACAGTGTTTTCCATAGTGTTAGCATTTTGGTCTATTTTATTTTTTCGAAATTATAAGACTTTGACTATATCAAATGATAAATATGGGTCATTAACACCTATTATATGTAATAATCTTAAAATATAATTGGTGGATTTTTTTGCATTTGTATATAGTCCCACACGCTTTTATTTTTTATTTTTTATCAAGAGTGCACATGGTATAGAAAACTTGAAATTGAACCATTGACATGTGGAACAAAACTAAACTAATCCGTAAAAGACCAATTTAGTTCGATTTTGAACCACGATTCTCTTTATTTTTTCAATCGTTGGCACAAAATCTAATAGCACGCTACCTAATCACTAGCAACACATCGATCATCTTCAAATGTTGCTCAGCAATCCTTGCATTAGATTCACACACTGACGTAGGTGACGGGAACATTATCTTCCAAGCCAAGTTTAAACTCTAAAAAAATAAAAAATAAAACTCATTTTATTGCATTATGGATGAATGTCTCCGGTTGGAACTCATAGAGATCATTTAGGACTTGCTTGGTTTGTCATTCAAAGAAACAGTTATTAACAATTCAAAAATAAAAAATTATTTTTGAAAATAGTTATTTAAAAACAAACTTTTTAAACTTTTTTTTTAACTCAATTTTCAAAAGACATTTCACATAAACCTTAAGCCAATTCAATTTTTAGAAAGAAAAAATATATATATATTATTTTTTAAAAAATAAACCAACCATATCCTTGTATTGGCATGTGGTTGTTTATAGTGGCATCATTGAGCTATAATGCATATCATACTTGTGAGGTTGTGAGGGCAGTCGGTATAGCATTTGCAATACCGGCTAA